CCTAGTTAAATATAGGCATCAGCCTTGTTTGTTACTCTTCACTGTTTTTCTTTATTGTTTTCCTTTTATTTTGCATCATTACTCTATTTTTAGTTGATTTGTGCTCCAATTCAATGGAAACCTTGCTATGTAGTTTGTCATTAAATTAGAGATCAGTGGATTCCTTCACACTCCCTTGTACTGGATTATTTTCCACCTTGTATCCTGCATCTCATAGCTTTCTCCAAGCATTCCTTCTCTCCTCTGGATCCACCCTTGCTGGCAGGCTTGTCAGGCTCTAACAACGAGCCCCAAATTGCACAGCCCAGCCTCTTCCTGCTATTGGAATTAATTTCCAGGTCACTCTCTTTTCTTCTGCTCTGAATGCAATTTATTTCTCCTCTCTTGGTCCTGGACTCTATTTCCCTGTTGTGTCTGCCACCTCCACCATTATTTCTGTGTGGTATTTGCTCATTAGTTGTTTTCATTTCTACTGCATCTTCTGCTTCACTCATTAATTCTCCAACACATCAAATAGATTTCACCATTTTACTTCTCCTCCACCAGTCTCTTCTTTCCACACTCCCTCGCTTTGATGGGTTCCCTTTGTCTGCATATTGGCCTTTGTTTATTCCCCATGCTCAGTGGGTGTCTGGGTTCCTTGGTGCTCACCCTTCCCACACCGTTGGCAGTGCTGCAGCAGCCTGGGCAGGAGCACCCTGGCTGCAGGGACAAGGATTTGGTGCTGTGCTCCCCAGGGGGGTGATGCAGGGTCCCCTCCTAACCCCCGGGGACAGGCCTCCAGCAAGGACTTGATTAATCTGGTACGTGTTGTGGGTCTGGGTTTCTGCCTTCCAGCCTCTTTGGAAGCAGGGTAGCACAAGAACACATAGCAAAGAAAATCCAAAAATAAGGGAGGTGGGGGAGACAAGTGATGTGACCTGCTGTGTACAGCCTGATCTTCCCAAGGTGTCCTGGGACAGACTCTTTCATAGATGAGTAATCTTCTGCTTGCATCTTGAATCCAGCCCATCTGACCTGAAGTCTGGGGGAGAGAAGCTGTTTGCAGCCAGCCAAGCGTGTCACCCTGAGTGCATCTGGACCATCAGACCAGAGATGATCCTGTCACATGCCTGCACGAGGGAGTCCTGCCTGCTGCAGCCACTCCTGCAGCTGGCACAGCCCTACAAGTCATTAACTCTTCACCTGCAATTCAAGAAACAACCTGTGCTTGCTCCCAGCAGCCTGGGCTGCACCAGGCTCCAGTCTGGAAAAGTTTAAGCTCCTTCCTCCATTTCTTACCTGGATAACAACACACAATTTTCACTCTAACTTTAACAAGGATCTTGCTGGTCCTTCTTAGCAGGGGGATCCAGTGAGATGGAGGTGGGTGGGAGCCTCTGCATTCCTCCTTTGCACTGTTCCCTCCACTGCTCCTTGTCTCCTGCAGAGCCAAGGGCACCTCTCTTTCCCCTCACAGCTCTGCCCTGGTGCAAAAAGCAGGCGTGGGCTAATGTAACTTGCTGAAGGCACAAATACTGAACCCATCCTCAGTGCACACAATTACCAGACTATCAGATGGGAAGGTCTGTAAGAACTAAGCAATGGAAAAGGAATGAAGTTCATTGAGAGGTTATGACCTCAGGGATTAGTAATGATAATTTTTTCTGTATGTAATGAGAGATGCTGGTGCAGTGTTGTACCTTTTCTGGTGCCAGTCTTGAAGACTGGCTTAGGCTCACTGTGCACCTGGGTGGGACGAGGGTGGTTTCAGTCTCTTCATGTGGCAAGTTTCTCAGTATTCTGACAATTTAGAAATTCAAAAAATCAAAAATTTGTTTTCTGGGGAACTAAAATATCCTTTTTATCATGCCTGGTTTATACAGCAAATTTATATTCTCTTATTCAATGAATTTATAACTATGAATTAAATTTTTTTAATACTGATCAATTGAACGGTGAGAGTTTTATTTGGCAAAAACATTAACATTATTCAACTTGAAAAAATCTAAAAGAAAATAAAAACTTCAAATTAATTCAGTGAAATTAAACACATAAACAATTGGCCCTGTAATTTTTCAGTAATGTGTTTGACACACATAGTTAGTAAATTTACACACCTTAATACACTTGGGGAGTGAGAAGATGATTTACAGATCCTCCCATCCTTTTCTATTTGATCCTGAAAAACCAAAAATTTTGCATGTCACCAGATAAAAACACTGAATGTAAATTGGCTCTCTAGTGTTGTTTTACCCTTCTCCCTTTCCCTGAGGTTGGACTCTAAAGCAGTATCAACCACAAATTATTGCTGCACACTTTCTCTGCGGCTCCATGGAAAAAATGGTAAGTTGATTATGCTCACAATCTCAACACATCCAAGAAATGCTCCTACAGCACCTCTGTCTATACTGACAATCAAAAACAGACTTTGATGGCCACTAAAAGTGATGAGAGATGACACCACTCAGCACCTAAAGGCCCATTAAATGCCATCATGTCACTCTGCAGTCTCAATAAATGGAGGTGGGCAGGTAGACCATGCCTGGGCATGTGTTCAGGCTGATGTGTTGTCTCCTTCCATGGCTGATACCAAGATTAAGTGACTCACCTCGTGAAAAAATTTTTATTATTTGTGCTGATTACATTGTAGTGGCAGTAAAGGCCAAATACCCCATCACTGTTGCTTTCTTCCCTTAAGCCAAAAGAAATGCTTGCATTCCTGGAATCTGAGCTCCCTATAAGCCCCTCAAGCTACCAGCAAAGAGCCCATAACATTTCTGTAGCCAACAGGCATGAAATGACCCCACTGGAACCCCTGTGTAACACGACCCTTAGATTTACATTTAAACTCACCTGCAAAAAGGCATTCCCTGAGATGGAAGGGGCAGTGCCAGCATCACCTGGGAGCTTGCTGGCACCGTGGTGGTGCACTGCAGCTTTGACAGCAGACTTTCACCCCGGTGTGTTTAATTGCTGGACTTTGCCTGCCAGCTGGGGTGGGCAGCACACATGACTGTTGTTTCCTATGGGGACAGGAATTCTTTGTCAGCTGCATAGCAGCCTCACCAGTGTGAGCCCATGGGCTGGGAACATCACCCCAGCAATACAGGACACCCTGGGGTCCTCCACAGACGTGCCACAAGTCTCAGCCCACTCTGGACCTGTTAAAGCATCCTTATGTGTTCCTGTGGCCTAGAGGATAGTCTTATGGAATAATGGTGCTTGTTTCAAATCCATCAAATCATGGGGTGGGGGGAAAGCAAGAAGCCGAGCCATAGCCACAGCAAGGTGTCTGAGGATACTAAAAGCCTGGAAAAGCCCATTCTTCAGTGTCTCTGCGCAGCAGCAGGCATGGCAGGACCACCTCAAGGCCCAGAGTGGACTGACAGGAGGCTGGAAAGGGTCAGGAGAGCGGAAGGTTTCAGGACATGCAGCTCAACAAGAGTCCTTGGTTACTGCACAAGTATTGGTGACTGGCCACAGGCCACACCTTGGCAGAAGAGCTCTGGGAGCTCTGTCTCTTGTCATGAAAACTGCCCCTTCTCAGGGACCTTTCAAGGCTGGGCACCTGGGCACAACATTTCATGGGCACATGCTCCTGAAGAGAGAAAAAGCAGGTGATGAGAAAGCCACAGTCCTGATCATCCCCAGAGTCCCCTTTCCATATGAAATAATTTCATTTTACCTCTGTGTTTTAAAGCCCACAAGAGCTGATCATCTCTGGCAACCTGTCCCAGACTGTCTGGAGCCTGAGGGAGCAGCTTGAGTGACTTCTTCACTCAGGCAGTTGGGATTACAGTCAGATTTGCTGACTCGACACCCATATGTCACACTCCACAACTGTGTCCCAGGGCTGTCCTCCTAACTTGTGGAACAGTAGTGCCATGCAGCTCCATGGAGTGAGCAAAGGTAGAAGAAAAAACCTTCCCAATTGCTTTAGGCTGTGCTGGGGACTTTCCTGAGAAGATTTTGCCTTGACCTGAAGTGGCCACAGAGTCCTCAGCAGAGGCTGCCCAGGGCAGGAGTCGCAGGTGCTGCACCTCAGCCATGGGGCAGCAGGGTGTGAGCTGCCAGGCGTCAGGCTGAGCACACTGCTGCTCACTCCACAGGGGCTAAGCCATAGAAAGGATATTGTCAGAGCAGAGGATTGTTCTGGGAGAACAGGCTGCACAAAGAGGAATTGTTTTGCCATGAAATGAGGCCATGTTTAGCTGCAGCTAGGGCTGGGCTTTGCCTGCTTGTCTGGGCTGCAGGCTGGCAGGGAATACTCTTCTCCCTAGCCTGCCTGGCATCTTCTCTTCTTCTGAGGTTGTCCACTGGCACAGTCAGCAGCACAAGTACATGCACTGAGACCCATAATGGGTAGGGTGAAAAAGGAAATTGAGGGATAAGAAAACTTGTGGCAGGTCTGCCATGACCTCCTGCACCTGCCTGGCAGGTCCAAGGGGCACAGGGAAAGGGAAGAGCAGCAGTGGGGCAGCTCCCATGGTGACAGCCTGCACTGTTTCTCCCAGGAGCAGGTATATTCTCACCTCTCCAAAAAGTGTTGTTGATGGCCTCCCTGAAAATGTGTGAGGGGACAAGCATCTTGCACCTGAGCTCCAGCATGACACACCAGAGAGCACAGGACACAGAAGCAAAGGGAAAGGGACCTGCGTGCTCAAAACACGAGTTGGAAGGCTCCTATAATTTCCTATTGGTTTTACTCCCTGTGTGAGTGAATACCAACATTTGAGAGGAATGGTGGATGCACCCACAGCAGTATTCTGTGAGTCATTACTTCCTCAGCAGCTGCAGTGGGGCTTCCGCAGCCCAGGGCTGCCCGGCTCCTCCCGCCGCAGCCCCGGTGCTGCCCGGCTCCCGGTGCTGCCCGGCTCCCGGTGCTGCCCGGCTCCCTGCCCAGCCCCAGCCCCGGTGCTGCCCGGCTCCCGGTGCTGCCCGGCTTCCGGTGCTGCCCGGCTCCCTGCCCAGCCGCAGCCCCGGTGCTGCCCGGCTCCCTGCCCAGCCCCAGCCCCGGTGCTGCCCGCTCCTCTCGTGTGCCATCAAGTCACGACCTGATGCACTGTTCTGCAGACAGAGCAAAACAGGTTGTGCCATGATGACGATGATGAAGAGGAAGATGATGACTGACATTGTTTGTCCTGCTGTGATGCCCATGAGAGCCTAAATAAACAAAAACAAGACAGCCAAAATTGGTTCCGCAGCCCCACTTACTGCAGAACATGTTTCTCAAGGGGATGCAAACCGCTCCGTGTTAGCTACTGCCACGGACTCTCGGGCAGTGCTTTGAAGTCCCGCCAGGCTGCTGCAGCAGAGCAGGAGACAAGAGCTGTCTCTCTCATATCACACAGCAGGACCCCGACTTCAGTACCAAAAATAAACTCCACATAAACATCCGCTGCACGGTTCAAAGCCGAATTGCCGTGGGAGCAGCACACCTCTGTGCTGCACACCAAGGTGGGGGGAGCCCAAGGCTGGCACACGGCAGTGGGAGACAGACACGTCCCACCAAAGCCACCTGGCAACCGGCACAGAGGGGGAAAGGCTGTGTTCAAAAGAGGAACATCCTGGGAAATGCTGCAGCTTTGAAATAGCACCCACAGACAGCAATGCCCCAAAGCATGGCCTTTACCCCAATGTAAGGCCAGCAAATAAAAACCTCAATGCAAAAGTACCCTGGGGCACAATCTTTACTCAGAGGAAAGGAGCTGACATAGCAAGCTGGACTTAGCACCCACTGCTATTTCAGTGCAGAAACTGCTTGGACATGATGGTAGCAAAGGGAGAAGCCTTACAACAAGCAGGTAAATCAATGACAGAATCTGAACAGCAGCGATAAGATAGCTGCTGCAGGAACTACAGCTCTTGAACCCCTGATTTTAGAAAATATGCATCTCAGTCAGAAATATACATGCAGTAATTTCCTTTCTTTAAAAAACACACTCCAAAAAAATTAAAAGGACAAGGGCTTCTCCTTCAGAGGAGCCAGACAGCATGCTTTGCATTATGCTTATGCACAGGGTTACCCCTAGGGAAATTGCAGAAGGTTTTCATTAATTTCTAAGTGCAGGTTTCCACCAAGGCAGTGTTCCTGGATCCAGCCAGAGAGCTGCAGTATCATAGGGACAGTAAATAAACTATGGAATCACATCAGCTTGAACTATTTTTATGGCATGTATTACAAATACATCCAAACATCCCATTTTTTGAGCATGAGCTTTTACCACCACAGCATCTCTGTGAGGCACAAAGTGGTAACATTTTATGTCTAAAATAGTTGAAGATTTATTGCACTTGGGTGGAAAGAGGAGATGCATGGGATTTTTTGAAAACACCTGTGTATTCATTTGTAGGTACCAGCTGTCACATAGACAGGCTCTGCCTCTCCTGAGGCCACCAAGCTCATGCAGGGAGCCTGGGGAAAAGCAAAGACCCAGACTGGGGAGCTGTTTCCACCACTTGACCACTTACCCTGTGTTTGTGCCTTTGACTTCCAAGCAGTCTCTGAGCTTTTCAGAGGTCAGTTAAGATGCATCTTCTGCTGCTGTTTCCATGTGGTTTTCTCTCCTCTGTGAGCTACAGGTGGAGCTGCTCTGGAAACAATGCAGATGAAAAACTTGGCTGAACACCCTTTGACAGCACTCACCCCATTATCTTGCTTCTTAGCATAAAAAAGTGCTCTGGCTTCTCAACCCAACCACCACAAGACTTCGTCTTTGGTCCCAGATGTTTCTGGCAGAAAGATCCTATCCTAGCAGGAGGATGAAAACCAACCCCCCAGCCTACACCAAAGCCTGCCTTACCTGTGGTATGGAGAGTGGAGAACTGAAGAGGTTCCCCTCACTCCTCTGTCCCCCTATCTTTTCAGCTGCTTCTTCCCTCACACCTCACAGACTTCACTTCCACTATAAAGGCTTAATGACATCCACTTAAAAGATCTGTAGGTTAAAAAAACAAACAAAATATTATGTTTTGCTTGTTTAAACAGAAGACATCTGTGTGCACACCACTGCTTGGGGATGGGACAAGAGAGCAAACAAGCAGCAGGTGTTTGTCATGCTGATCACTGGATGCAGAGAGATGCAGGGAAGTGGTGGCACCACTCTGAGCTTCATGGCTTCCAGAGAGGATGCAGCTCAGGGCAGCAGCAGGACAGGCTGTGGGCACGACCCAGCATGGCTGCATGTCCGATACAGACTGGGAGAAGTGGGCCTGTGGGTAGCTGGGCAGGAAGGAAAGGCAATAAATATCTCTCTCCTGCATTTGGGAGGAAGCCAGATGAAGCACTCCTGTCACGAGGGTGAAACACTTTCCACTCTAACAGTAACTCAGGAGGATATTAAACAACAGTTGCATAAGGCAAATGTTGAAAACTCTTCAGTCTGGGTATCCTGCATCTAAAAAAATAACATCCATTTTTAAACATCCAAACTATTAATGGTGAGACCCAGTAACATAAGGAAACCTGGAGAAGCTCCAGAGAACAAGCAAGTTGATGTTGTGCCAGCATATTAATAAAGTAAACAGGATGGCTTAGTAAACAGGTGTGTCTATTCAACAGATATCCCATGGAAAATAATGACCAAAAATATGTGATCATATTGATAAAGACTTAAAGCAGAGAAATATAAATACCAATCAACAAGGATTACAGACCATAAGCCTGTCAGACTACCATGATAAATTTTTTGGCACTGTACATTCTTCAGTATCAGAGAGCTGGTACAGCAGCCTGTGTGATCAAGGAACAAGCTCATGGGCAGCCTGGCCAAGTGTGAGGCAGGAGAGGAGCTGCTCCCCGGGGAGCTGGTACTGAGCATGTGTTTGCAGCAGGGTAAAACTTGGTTACATGGAAAAAAACTAAGTAATGATGGGTACAGCCTGCTGTCCTGGGTGCCCTTGGCATCCCTGGGGCACAGGGGCTATGCAGCAAATCCCATTGTCTGCACCAGAGCCTGGCAGGTACTGAGGGGAGGTTTGGGGGCCAGAACAAACCTGTGCCCTTCTCCATCACTCTCCTGCACCCAAACCGGAGCCCAGACATCCCAGCAGCACCTGCCATGCCAGGGCTGAGTTTCCTCCCTGCCAAAATTATCCTGCTTGGAAGAGATGAGTTCAAAAGGGATTGGATAAGGCAGGGGAAAAAAACACAAGAGTTCAGAATGGCAGCAGATCCCATGCTCACAGGAAGTGTGCTTCCCAATCACCCACTTGGCTGCTGCCACAGCAGGACACAGCCTGAGCCTTTGCCCTGACCCAGCAGGGTCACACTTTTATTCTGACACAGTGCACCAGGAGCGGTGAATCCCTGTTGGACATGCAGACCACAGCAACAAGCAGTGGACCATGAATTCCACAGTGACTTTATGGGTAAAAGTCTGGTTCCTGTTCCCTGTTTAAACATTCAATCACTAGCAGCAACTGGATAAGAGGTTAAAGTCGCTCTACATCTGAAATTCCCATTCCCACAATTAGAATAGTGTGTCCTGGTCCAGGGTCCCAAGGGACACAGATGCATAAGGAGATTTGGATATGAGTCAAGAAATGGAAAATATGCCTTAAAGCAAAAGGGACTTTCATCAGTTCAGTCTGTCTTAAAAAAGGATCAGGAAAGCTTGATCATAATATCTGACTCTGGTACTAATTACTCAGAGGCTCAGTTCCTTTCTGAGAAGATTCACTGACTTGAAGGGAATTAAAGAAATGCAGCTTCAATCTAAGGTGCAACAAAGAAAACAGCTTCTAGAACAACCTACCAGCCACTGTAGCAGGAATACATCAGTTTAAAATCAACTGTTTTCCTAACAACAGTGCTCTAATTTACACAAGAACTAATTCGAGGCAGCCTGTGTCATGCAGGAAGTTACGCTGGCAAGCCTGGGAGCCTGGCCAGACTCCCTGCTTTATAATCTATGGAAAAAAACCTGCCTGTGTTTCCCTTCCTCCAGTCCAATTGTGTGAAAGGTCTGGCCTGCCCCACTGGAGGCGTTTTTGGGAGGCGTTTTGCTCAGGCTAGCGTGGGTAGCAGGCAGCCATGCCCTGCCCGTGTCCCGGGCTGCCCGAATCACTGCAGCCAGCTGCTGGCCCCGAGCTCGGCACTGAGGCATTTTAGCTTTATAAGGAAGCCAGGCTGAGGGGACGAAGCAAAGCAGAATCCTAGAGCTGAGGCTCCATGAATGACGAGTGCCAAATATCTGACACACACAGTATACTTCCTTCCTTTCCAACCAAAGCAAGGACATGAGACAGAGCAGGGAACAGCCCTCCCCCTGGTTCTCAGCACGTCACAGGAATAGCCCTGCAGGCTCCGACTCCCCAGCTTGTTTTTGCACAAACTGGAACCAGTAACCTGCCTCCACTGCCTTTCTCAGCACGTCACAGGAATAGCCCTGCAGGCTCTGACTCCCCAGCTTGTTCTTGCACAAACCACTCACACTGGAACCAGTAACCTGCCTCCACACCAGTTCCCTCTGCAGTCAGTGGCATCCCAGAGCCAGGACCTCCACATTCATTAGGAGCAAAAAGCAATTCCACCAGTCTGGCTGGGATGCTGCCACTGCAGCCACACTCATTTGCAGCGGAGCAGCTTTGCTATTGTGTAAGCTGTTTGTGCTTCCAGCTCAACTTTCTACTTCCCAGCTCAGTGCTTTTCAAGGGCCAGCATGTCAAAATGGGTCAATAACTGCCCTAGTCACAGCTTTGTGGATGGTTTTGTTTTGGGAGAACAGCTCACAGCCTCCACAAATAAGCTGGATCTGATTAGCTCAGAGGCAAGCAGTGCAGGAGCAGCTGCAGGCTGTATCTGCTGAGTGGAGATTTCCTCACCCGAAGATTGCTGACAGATGCTATTGAGTAAAACACACTGCTGGCTTTCAACACAAGTCAGAAGGAAGTCCATGCAAGGGTAACCATAGGCAGGACATTTGTGCTTTAGGATAGTGCTGTATGTACTGACAGGCTCCATGGGCATGTGCACCCACCCTTTTGTCTCACAGGAATCTCTCATTAGATTATATGTTACAGCCCAATGGCATAAAGTAAAACAGAGATGGCTTCAGTGCCCAGTTCCTAAGAGAAACAGGCCAGACTTCACAACCTGGCCCATCCAGAAGTGTCACAGTCCTGCTCACATTGAAATACCTTTCTGAAGTGATAAATTAATCCTGAAGCAGCTAATAAACTTTATAGAAAACAGAAGCAGAGAAGCATGGAGTGAAATCAGATCCATCTGGGATTTGCTGCAGTATCAGAATACAAAAGCTCTGTGCTTCTGTTCCTCAAGTGTTGTCTTCTTGCTGTGGGCCTTGAAATAGTCCTTCCCAGTAGTTTACTTTCTGGGGTATAACCATAATTGGTTTTTAATGCGCAAAGTGTTTGCTGCTTATGTTTGTACCCTGCTGACTCACTGTGCTACATCCCTTTACACACAGACCTGCAGCTCCAGCACTTGGCCTCCAACATTTTCACTGTGGTTTAGACTGGAGCTGCTCTGTGGCCTTACCCAAAGGGAAATAAGAGTCCTTACGACCCGAGAGACGGACACAGCGTCTCACAGTGAGCATAACAAGGTCTTTATTAAACAAGACGGAGTAAAGAAAGAACACAAGTGAACAAGCAGAAACAAGGAGCTCTGTGCAGCTCTTCAGGTTCTCTATCAGGAAAGGGTAGTTATCCTCCAGGCCAGACCTGGAGAAGATGGCATCAATACCAGAAACAAAGTCCTCTGCTTTGGCTGAACAGAGAAGTACTTATGTCCAGGAGACATGGCCAGCAGCAGCTCCACACAAGCCACCCAGCACTAAATAAAATCCAGGGAAGGACCTTATAAACCCTGTCTTCCCAAATATGGTGTGTGGATATGTGAAGGGCCTTGGAAGTCCTAGAAGGAATCCAGGTGGGGTGCCTGCAGCAGTAACAAATGTTGCTGTTCCATCGGTCTGGTTCATCTCAGCTCATCTCTGATACGGATGCATTGAGGCAGATTTTATATTTGTTTTTATGCCACTCGGCATTTTTCCTGGAGAGATAAAAAAGAAAAAGCAGTGTAAAATCAGTAATATGAGAGGGCATTTGCTCAGGAGCACACAAGATTCCAACAATCTTGTTGGGCTTTTCCAGTTCCACTCCAGGCTCATTTGCTACAGCACCTTCCAGCTTCTGACATACATGATCAATCTCTTTCACAAATTGGCATCTTTCTCTGCTGACAAATCTCCTTGACAGTTCCCGTGTCCCCCTGCTATCCCCTTCAATTCTATTACTTTTTCATCCTTAGCAAGCCTTTCTCTTTGTCAGGGGGCTCCTACAGGAGTGCTGGGCCTAGTCTCATAGAGGTTGCTGGCAGCAGCAGAACACAGAAGAACCCAGACTGTGTCCACTTCCATTTCAGAGAATCTGTATCCCCTTCCCTGTAGCATTATTTACAGTCAGGGTGTATATTTAAATTACTAAGCCTCTCTCAGATTTCTTAATTTCTTGTAACCACATCCACCTCTTGGGCATTATTACTCTCTGCTGATACCAATCTCACATGGGAGTGTGTTCAAAGACATCTTATTAGGAGCTTAAAGTAAGTGTAGAGTGCTAGACAAAATTAAGATGATCTGAAAAATAAACAGTGATTAAAGAGCAGCACAGAGGGATATTCAAAAAACACTTCTTCAGTGTCTTCAGATTGAACCAGAAAAAAAAAGGATAACTTCTGAAAGTTAAAATTATAGTGCATCAGGACAAGAAAAGATTTGATAAGCAAAAGCCTAAACCAATAAAGATTATTAAACTTTCTCAAACACACCCATAGTGGGTCACTGTCACCCATAGCAATGAATGTTAGTTTCTATCAGTTACCTGTCCAATCAGGAGACAAATACTGTTGGATACCACTCCAAAAGCAACAGTGAACCAAACAGTATGGTTCACCCACATCTGAGACACTGTGAGTGGTTGTGGTGTTCCCAGTCTTGAGAACAACCAGAAAAAGTGCATGTAAGAATGAAAAGGATGATCCAAGTTATAATTTTCACACAAAGTCATATTAAAGAGAATAGGACTTCGCTAAAGGAAAAACACCTAAAAATAGATAAAGGAGGGAGACATGACAGATTTCCAAAACATGAAAACTAGTATGGAGAAGGTAACTGAGGAATGATTATTCACCATT